ATTACTTACCTATTTTTGTCATAAATCAGTAAAAATTAAACAAAGGCTTACACATAATGCGTACTTTTGCATGGACTGGGATCTAAAAGATAGATTTACTTCGTCTACATATGGTGCGGTCGATTTTCATTACTACAAATCAATCCTTATTGTGAAATGTTAAACATTAGACGGCTTTCCCGGATCAAGGTTTATCTTTATTGGAAACAGTTATGAAAAGAGATGGGCCATTTAACTTTTCACATCTATTGAGTAAGTCGACATGTTGGTACACAGCGACTTTTGTATTTTGAAAGGTGCAATATTTCTCATACAACAATTTTTTAAAAAAGAGGAGTTACTTCGTAAAAATGCTCCGATCCAATGCACTTTAATTAGGGGTCGTCCTGGCGCCAGCGTAACAAATCAAATTTCATCAAAATATCGAAGAAGTTGTGAACTGTGTATGTGTAGGCTAAATACAAAAATATATATAGGGGCAGACACTGAACGGACAAATGGACAGACAAGATTAAATATATCAATATAAAAATAGGTAGATATGCATTAAGCTTTTTTGGGTGTTACATACATCCGCATACAATTAATACACACTGCACGATAAGCAATGTAGAGCGGAAAAGACAAGAGACAAAGTTGTAGTCAATTGAAGACTATGACCTAGAAATACTAACCTATTCTACGCACAATACTTGAGTGCAAAGTAAATTCAAAACTCGTTCATTAACCAATGCGAGTAGAGTGTAGCGAATCGTCTTGTATTATATATAGCGCGGAACGTATTTTTGTATGAGATTAACTGACTTATTCTGTGTACAATCAATGAAAGCTCACTAAGCCTATGTTTCTAACAAACAATGGTAAAACAAGTCTTATTATCTGTTTATGCTTTTTTGTACCCATCACCGAAGGATGAGGGGTATATTCATTTTGTCAAAACGTTAGCCTCGCCCAGAAGGAAGCATCAGAGACTCCATTCGTGATCAGCATCACATTTTAAATTGATTTATGTATTGGCAGAAATGAAGCTATCGACTTCAAATTTGGCAGAAACATTGGAATTTCTTGCATACAGGTTGGTATTGAAAATTGGCTAATTGGGTTGAAGGGCACGCTCACAGTACTACGTAAACTGGGAACATCTCTGTCTTTCAAAAAGAATGGAAAATTGCTTTTTGCTCATTACACAAAAACTCTAGTAAGTAAATGTACATATGCTACTGGCGATGGTGTAGCTTTCGTGCACAAAAATGGAAGAAAATTGACCACGCTTACCCAATATTATAGTGTATCAAAATTAAATTATACTTCAATACCTTTATAACCTGCCGAAACAAGTTTCCAAAACCCCATGAAGTGTGCAAATTCTTGGCCCGTTTCAAATATGGAACATGTCCGCCCGTTCGTCTGTCCATCTGTGTGTTTACCCAACTTTGCAGTGTTTGTGGTAAATATTCTACCGTTAGCAAAAATGAAGATATCACCTACAAATTTGCAGGCAAACGCATTTGAAATTGACCTAAACTTTTCGAAGGACACGCCTTCAACGCCCACATACCTATATGACAAAACTTTCGCTCCCTATTATAGAGCATGAAAATTTACTTTTTTCACATTTTTTGCCTTTTTTTAGGATAACGACGATTGGTATAAAAAATTCGGTTCCGAACAAATTTAATTTTTTTATTTGTTGCTATTGTGATGTTGTGATGTTTAAGCACAAATTCGGTTACTACAAAAGACATATATATATTTACACTATATTTTATGACCGGTTGAACTGAGCGCATAGCAAATGGACGAAAATGTTTTATACAGTTTTGTGGAAAATAAGTAAAGATAAGCGTATAAAAAAACTTTATTTTGCCTTTTTCTTCTTTTGCTATTTTATTATTTATTGAGCAATTTATTTAGATTGCAGCGTAAGAGTTCGTTAAAACATTTGAGCGACAAATCTTATTATGTTAAAATGATAGCTCAATAATTTACCTTCAATTTGCTTCATTTTCCAACGTCGTCGTGTCTTAATAAATAAACTTCTTCTAACGCAACGTTTAATGTTGTCACTTAAGCTTCGGAATACCAAATTTGAAACAACGGTAAGGAAGTTTAACTAACTGTCCAACTAAAATCAATCTGACAAGAGCGGTAGCGAAAACTTTGTTATTCAGTTTGTGTTCGTCTAGATAGGGTTTTGAGAGATAGGGTCGTAATAGCGAGTTTAAACTGACCGACAAATAGACGGATTTGGCTAAATCGATTTCGCTATCCGTAGCGAAATCATCAGTCTCCGGACTGATGAACTATAGAGGCAATCGTCATTAAAAACGAAGGTGAATATCATTACATTTAAAGTTCGCATTGAGGTATTAAAATTATTGGTTGGTGGCGATAGGCATCCACATGGAGTTTCAATATGTACGAGTTGTTTTCAATAAAGAAAAAGACTTTATTTTTCCTTAAAAATATTTATTTACCCATCAATACATATTCATTTTGTCCCCGTCAAAGTAATCCCCGCTTGAACCGGCGCTTTTTCCAATCCTCGGAGCACTTATCATATGCGCTTTTTGGTATGGCCTTGAGCTTTTCCGGACTCTTGCGGTCTTCAACTCCTTAGTCGTGGGAAAGCTCCGTCCACTTCATGGGTCTTTTCAATTATGAAAACATGAAAAAATTGCAGTGGGCCAAGTCGGGTGAATACGGTTACTGCCACATGATTACAGTGGCCGAACAATTACGTACAAGTAATGACGCGTTGGCTGGCGTATTACCACTGGCCAATATTTATGACGTTTCATGCGCTTAGCATGCGCCAACACTCTAATAATGATTTTGGGGAGAGGGATCTCCATAACAATTTTCTACATTGCTTCAACGTTCTCTTCGGTTGTTGACGTGCTGGGCCGTACAGGGCGGGTATTGTCATTAGCATTTACTCGGGCTTCTGTGAAAAGCTTGCACCATTTATAAGCATTTTGTTCGTCCAAAGTAGGTTCGCCAAATGCCGTAGTCAATATTTTAAGTGAGTTCGAGCCCTTCATTTTATTTTCCACACACAATTCAATACAGATTCTTTGATCTACTTTTTTTCAATAGCAAAAAATCGCCAAGCACACCAACACACACCTAATCTTTGTATAGGCTAAAAGCAAGTTTAAAAAAAAAAAAAGAAAATGTTGTTGTAGACGCATTTTAGCCGACGGAGAGAATTGAAAGAACTAATACACGTTGTTCATTTAACAAACACGTTCACCTTATATTTTGTTCACAATATTTATCCGCTTATTAAGAGCTCTTTAAAAAGTTTCTGATAGAGTCTCACTCCTGCGATCTTTTACACAATAAATGAAACCAAATGATAGGATAGATCGAATTCATTTTCAATCCCGATTGTGTTTATTTATTTATTTATTGAGTTTCGAGTAATAAAAGGTTTCACTTAACCATACAGATGGGAACTTAAATATGATGTACAAATGATATAAATTTATATTTGTTGTTACATTTGCAATGTTTGTATATAGCGAAATTTGTGTATATGTTGTGTTGATAAGAGCGAGAGAGAGAGAAAGAGAGAGAGAAAGAGAGTGTGTTGCATATATGCAAATGTAACCATGCATTAGACTGCTATTCTACATATACAACTAAATTTGATTTAATTTGTTTGGGAAGCTATAAGAGACTTTAATGGGTTTCTTAATTAAATAGGCATAACGAATCCTTAAATTGAGTGTAATTCGGCGATATAAACTTATGCATGTGTATAGGACTATGCGTGGATTTTATAGTTGATACAGTGCATTAACTACGCTTTAATTGTATCTAATTGCCTGTGTAAATATGACGTAAAACATTTTGACAATTTTGTTGCAGCAAATGGCAAAACTAATGGCAATCAGTTAGAGTGACAACCAGCATCATCACAAAATTTGATTTGTTTCACTATCATTGATGTTTATATTTACATCTTTATATATATATATTATGCATAATATATATGAATAAATGCATGTACGAGTGCCGTATATATGCATGCATATATGTGCGAGGGCGTTGTGCAATAGTTTTCCAGTTTTGCCAAAACCACTGCTACCATGAGACCAGAGTTTGAATTTGAGTGCATAATAATTTAATTTACCGTTGAATAAAACTTTGTTGATATTATATATATCAGGCAAACAAACAGCAGCATCAGAAGCAGTAGCAGCATCGAGCCATCGAGCAAAAAAAAAGGTAGAAAAATTTTTGTATAATTAGAACATTGATATATGAAAACATAACAAAGCGAAGTAAAGTACAACACATCCAAACACACAAGCAAAGACAGAGAGAGAGAGAGTGAGAAAGAGAGAGTGGGAAGGAGAGAAGAAGAGAGTTTTTGGTTAGAAGTTTGTTTACTTACATGACCACAAAAAGCATAAAAACAGTGGAGGGGGAGGAGATACTCATTCCGATATTTGCTAAAAGTTTTCCATTTGTTTCTTTTTTTATTATTTTTTTATTAATGTTTTTTGGTGTTGAACTTTTGCTATGTGAGTGTTTTTTTCAATTGTCTGCAATGGGAATTATATGGTGAAACCACAAGAGATGATTACTTAAATTTTTAAATAAATTTTTATTTTGCAAATTTTCTCTTATTCCTCCGCATCTTCAGCAGTTAACATATGCTTACCGCTATAGGCTATAGAAAGTTTTTCAATACACTTGTAAAACATTTGTTAAATCTCACAAGCGAGGCATTTTTCGCTATTAAAATTAAGTGAAATCTCTTTGTAGATAACGACGATTTCGAATGGAGTGTGGAATTAAAAAAAAGAAAAAAAAAATGTTGACATTTTTCCCGAATTGTACTAAGTATATGACGTAAGAAAGAGCTTTGCATGAAGATAGTTTTTATATTAAAATTACGCTGCGCTTTCGTTTTTAGGCCAAATTTCCATTTTCGTTGTTAATATATCGGCGAATAATTTCCATGGCTAATAAAGAGAAAGGATTTCTTTTTTAACTTGACTTTTTCCATTAACATATGTCTTCTTCAAGGGCGGCAACCCTTCTCGAACATTTCAACGGCCCTTCCTCATCGGGAGGTTCGCTAACAAATAATAATCGCAACTAGATACTAGAACCACAGAATAGGGTGGGCGGAGCAGCAATTCGTAATAGAATTCAAGCAACTTTGCCGTAGTGTCAGACCAGACGGAGGACGCAGCCAATTTTTTTGTGTAAACACCTTTAGGATGTCAGCCATATGTTGCAATTTCATTTTTCGATAATCGAAAACCATTTTCAAGATTTTGTTGATGTTTATCAATGGAATCATCCATTGAAGCCAATGACTTTGACTTTGAACTGTTTGTCCTCATGAGAGATGCAATGTTTAATGGACCCATAAATATAATAAAAGTAGTCAGACTAAAATCGCTATTACTGGTAAACAAATGACCGAACAACATGAAATATTAACGGATATCATTAAAAAGTTGAAAAATAATATGAAAAATGCTTAACCCCGCTATGTTACTAACCTTGAGTGTACACGCTTGATTAGACGGATTGTTCTATAAATTGCTTACATTCATTACGGCAGGACGTGCTTATATCAGTCCGTCTTTCCGTTTCTAAAGCTTAGGCATATGAGCTGAAAATTTGACCTCTTTCTTGCTAACATTCACCGAGATATGAAGCTGAAATTTAGTTTTAACCTTAGATTAGCAAATTGAAAAGAAAGATGGGAATAAACGAAAATTTAAGTATAATTTTCTCGATAGTTTTCAAATTACGATCGACTTTAGCATAAATCAAGGAGAGGTTTTAATCCATTCGCGCTCCTCTTAATTGTATCATCAAGGGAAAAATTCGTCTAATTCTAGTCAAGTTACATAAGGCGTTGGAGAATTAATGCAGAGAAATAAATATGGTTAAGTAAATTTTGAAATTCAGCGAAATTTATCCATAGGATACAGGAGTGTACCGTGCATCGGATGAAATAGTTGTTGTGTTTTTAGTTTTTCAACCAAGCCAAGAGAGATAGGTACTAAAAGGGTGCTCTACAAACCGAAAGTAATTTATTTCTTGTTGTTTCTACCTATGTTTTCACTTTTCATTTCAAAAGTAATTTAATATAAACACTTTATTAAATTATTTTTACAACCTAAAGGTAAACAACTTGAAAGAATTTCCTATATATATATGTGGTACAGATTTTGAGAGAAGAGACTGTTACATGCATTTTTTTGTTGTTGTTTTTTTTTTTCGATTATTTACCTTATTTTCAATGATGATGTGAGTACGTGCTTGTGTGTTTTCATTCATCAATAGACATTTAATTAAACTTAAATAATTGATATAGCACATGTTTGTATACAAAATAAACCACAAAATCCGAAGACAAAAATGCAAACATTTGATGTAACATGTTTTAATTACAGCAAATTGTGTCTTTTTTCCTTCCCCTTCCTCTTCCCTTTATCCCCGTATAAGACGGAAGGTTTAAATTGAGTCTATTTCAATATTCGATATGCGATGAAAAAATGCGGATGATGTAAGTAAAGGAAGGTGAAGCACACATTGTGAAATGAATAAGGAAGCTGTGTTCACCTTGAGCTTGGAAGATTGTGAACATCGGAATATCTACTTTCCCGTAACCAATAGTTTTAAGCTGCCCGTCCTGGTGACGTCTACAAAATGAGAAGACGAGATTTGACAACTACAGGACCTACATTAATCTTCATACTTTTGCCCCTGATACCGTTACCGGTGGGAAAGAGGTGGGGGGTGAGGCGGAGAGAGAAAGAGAGAAAGAGAGAGAAAGAGAGAAAGAGAGAAAGATGTTCGCTTTCACCAATCGAGCATCCCGTACAGCAATGACAACCCGCCATTTCTAAATTAAAAGTACGATGTACCGCGCTGCTCCGCTGAAGTGGTTGGCGTATAACTCCTTCAAACGCTTTATATTGCGTTCATAACAATTTTGCCATAGAGGCAATGAAATAGTCGCAATTATTGGTTAAAGGGTAAAAATTTGTTGCTTCAAAAAAAATACACATATTAGATCTGCGGGAAAGTTTCCTCCGTTCCGATTGCAACAAGTTCGAACAAGTTACGTATTTGTCTCACTCTCTTTATCGCCTATAATCTCGCAAATAAATTAAAACGAACATGATTGGTGTCAGTACTAAGTGCGATGCGATCGTTTACCTATGGCTATGGAGTAAAATTCTTTTTCGATTAGATCGGAGATTGCGGAAATGCTCAAGAAACCATTTCGGACTAGGATTTTGTTTTATTCAAAAAACGGATAGAACTTTTCGGTAAATGTATTATAAATGCTCGGAAATCGAATGTAAAGTGCTTTCCCCCTAAGATTTCTGTGGAAAAGATAAAAATCCTCTTACTTTCTTTTGTAGTTACGCTCTTTACATTGTCGAATTTGTGATTCAATTTCAGTGCATTTTGAGTTTTAAGATCTTTAATGTCCTATGTTGGTTTGTTTCGAGACATATTAAAATGGAAATGGTTCCGTTGCCATTTATTGTCGGTATTAAGAGAGAGTTGTTACTAAATTAATGGTCGGGCAGCCATGAAAATTTGACACATTTCGAACATAAGGTTAGCGCTATTGAAAACTCAAATTTGACGCTGATAGGTCGAAGCAGCGATTTCAATAAGTCAACCTACACATCGCACATTCGTACAGTCATTTACTTATTGCAGGCATTCCTTAATAATGCTCTCGTTTAATCCATAGTTAACAGGTAAGAGAGTAGATGAATGGTTTAAATTTTGCTATCAAAACAAATGAACAGACCTAAATCGAGTAACAATCACATGGTAATTAAAAATATACACATTCATATGATTCCTGGATGTTACAAAAGCGCTTACAATTCTAACACACAATAATCGTTCTGTGGTGGTCATCGAAAAGAATAAAAAAAAAGAAATTTTTTTTGGGATTTAACTGAAACTTTTTTTTAAGCAACATTTGTATTTGTTATACCTACCACAGATTTGACAAATGCTTACAATATATGGAATAACGCATCAATGACTTTTTAAAACATCAATAGAGCGTACGTTCAGGCTCGATTGCCTTCGATAGGTGCGACAATGGCCTGTGAGAGTATAATTTGCAGTAATCAAGTACAAATCGATTGCACGTATTTATATAAGAAGCACTTTAAGAATTGTTAAGAAAAAATGCGTTAATAATTGCTCGCTTACCTTTAATGCACTTTAGTTTAATCATTTGTAACATGTTACTTATTTAAAGGTTAACCAAAAAGCAACTAATTCGACGTTATATTACGGTATTATAACTTCTCTTATTTGTGTGGTACTACTCGCATATATATATATTATAAGATATATAGTACTATTAGATTCAATAATGACAAATGAGGCGATCGTCATTACATTACGTTACATTACATTGCATACATATGCAAAAAACTCTCCTTTATATAACGTGAAAATTGTTCAAATGGTTGTAAAACGGGTTCTAAAATGATTTTAGTAACAATCCGATGTCTATGTCTGCCACATAAATTGTCTGTCTATGCATCCTCTCAAGAAGGATGCGATGTCCTTTCTCTTTGCATATTAGCAAAGATTAATAATAATAACTAGTGAAACATCTTTATCTGACCGTTTCCGTACTCTGAGTATTTCGAAGCATTTTACTTGTTTACATTTGTATAAACGTTAACCTTTGCCAGATGCACGTTCAGCTCTAGTTTTAATTTTGGTAATTGCGTTTCATATGTAAATCATTTTGCAACATTTTCCCATTATTTCATTGCTTCTCATATACCTTTAACTACTTCACATAGATGCTTACATTTTACCTCGGCTCTTAATCACATAATTAAATTATTTACTTCCTATTTATGTCCCTTGCGTAGATATAACAAATAATTGAAGTCATTTTCACGAAAGACATTTTGTTGATATATTTCGTCCATTTTTCTTAAACACTATTAACCGGCAATTTTTCCAAGTCGCACTTGATATATGACATACGTCAGCATTAGTAAAATTTGACCATAATTTAAATTAAATTTGGGAGGTAAAAACTATTTAACAGGTTCCGGTGTAGTGCTCTTAAGTAAAGGCGGAAGGAGAAGAAGAAAAGGAAAGAAAGAAAAAAAAACTTGGAAAAAAGGGGAAAAGAAGAAGAGGAAGAGAGAGAGAGAGAGAAAAGAGAAAAGAGATCAACTACAAAAAGAGAACTTTTCCTGTTTCTATAATTATCAGTGAAACTAAAGAAGCTTTCACTTAAAGCTAACATATATGCAAACAGGTATCCATTGACATGTCAACATGTCATGCAACAGCAGCTGAAAAACTTTTTGGTCGGTTACTCGTTGATGTGTTACTAGAAGAGCGCAACCGCCCTTTTACAACTGATCTCACTCTATTCTTCCTCTTCTTTGTCGTACTCATGCATTTAATGGAGTTTTTGGAGTTTACTTCTGCGGATTGTAAAGGTATTGGGAAAAGAAAAATTATGACTCAATTATAGCGCTGGGTAGGCGTGGCAAAGTGTTCCCATTTTTGCACAGATACTAACGCATCGTCCATATGGTATACATTTACATTTGTGCCTTGCGTAGTGTTTGTGAGTAGTGAGAAAAAAAACCGTTTTTTGTTTTTTCTTTGAAAAACAGAGATGTTCTCACTTTACGTTGCATTGTAGGCGTACCATTCAGGCGATTTGGCTTCTTTTTGACGCCATTCTGCGTGCAAGAACTTCCAATGTTTCTCACAAATTTGAAGTCGATGGCTTCATTTTAGCGATTAGGAGAATTTTCACAACAGACATTGCACAGACGAACAGACGAACATATGCAAGAATATATATATATATATATATATATATACTTTGGAAGGTCTCTGAGGCTTCCTTCTGGGCGTTGCGAACGTGTTAATAAAATGAGTATGAAAAAAGACAGAGAACGTAGAGAAACATTAAATTTTTTAAATGAAACGAGAAGCCTCATAAAGGTCTTATTGGGCTCGTTGGCTCGAGCCAGTGATATTTGCATATATATTTTAATGGATTCGTTTTATTTTAATACTTTCCTTAACGCCCTACAATTTATTGCGACATTCAATTGCTATTAGGTTAGCATAGCTATATATTGCTTTAGCTATATTTGGAAATTGTCATGATAAGCATATTTTTTGTGAATGTTTCGTTTGCACGTTTGTTTTGGGAAACTGCTTTTCATGTTATGTAAAATGTTCTGTTTGCGGAAATTGCCTCTTAACCAATTCAATTTATTATTCATATTTTCCTTATGTTCGGGGTTTTCTAGGCAAAAGTTGGATGGATACATTGACTATCAAAATGTGTTCAGTTTCAATATTGAATTTTATTCTTTCAATTGCTTTTCTCTTTACTTGTGAACTTCAACTGCAATAAAAACATATGAATAATAAAATATTGTAACAGTTTCCATGTTATATGAACGCTTAAAAAGAGAGGAGACGACAAGTTTATAAAGAACGTATTTATATATGCAAGATTTTAAATTCAATCATATTCGTCTTCAATGTTTCTTAAGATGAAATTTCAAGATGAAATTTGTTTTCAAGATGAAAACAATAAAGGAGAAAAACAATGGTCGGCAAGACGTCGTCAAGCCCATGGCGATATTCAAGACCATCAGAATGAAGAAAAAGAAAAACGTATATACATACGGTTTTAATCGACTTCTTTCATACTCATTACTCGGTCTATCTTCTCTTTTTTTTTTTT